CTTCCGAGCCAGCGGGCCATTTATAATGTCGAGCCCTGCTCTCTGTCACTGTGCATGTGTGTAATGTTTGTGTGCAAGTTAGACGGGGCCTGCGTGTGTGCCTGCGTGTGTGACTGTGTCTATGAGGGAGAAAGGAAAGCTCATTTTGGCCGCGGCGGGAAATTGATTTGACAACATAATACTCGATGTTCACGATGTGGTCATTTACGACATCGCATGGAGTGCAATCCACGATGTATCGTGTAAACTCGATATATTTTCCATAGTGACGGTTCTCTGCAGAGGGAGAGAGCAGAAATCAAATGGTTGTTAGACACAGTGCAGATCCTGAAGAAACCAGTCTCGTGTTCAGTCATCTCAGATCTTACTTTCTCCTTTCCGGATCCAGGTCAGGACTTGTGCAACATTTGTGACCAGTTCCTCCCTCAGGTCAGCCACATAGATGGTTTTCTGCACATTTAAAAAAAGACACAAGCACAATGACCATTTAAAGAGAAAGAAAACGATGTCCATGCCTTTAGTACTCATAGACATGAAGTATCATCATACTATAATGATGGAGGTCGGTGTGTGTGTGTTACTGAGGGAGTGTAGTACCGCGTCTGAAATTAATTGAATCAGAGGATCTGTAGAAAACTGTCTGCCCAGAACTTTGGTTATCGCATACACTCATTAAAGTCAGTTAAAACAGCACTCAGTAATATAATGTTACAAAGAACAGCTTTACGTCTGAAACACAGGAAAAATTGCTTTTTGTTGCCAGATTTTTCTGCCGAAATTAGAAGGCCAAATTTAGTATTAAAATGTGTCAGAAACATTTGATGAAAACGTCGTATGCAAACTTCTAAATAGCCCACTTACATTAATTGTCTCTCGGACTTCCAGAGGTTGTCTCTTCCAGCTATCAACGAGCAGATCACTCACAGTCTCGTTGTAGATTTCCATGTAAGAAACCCGAAGAAGGAACTCCTTCTTTGGACACTTTTGGACAAAAGAGAAGTTGTAAAAAAACACATTAATTGCTTACTAAAAAAGTTATTTCTAAATATGCGATACAATTCTTACACTTTTAATGGTTTGGAAGACATCTTCCACAGCCATCGGTATCACTCCAGGAAAACGGTCACTCCCCATCATAGTAAAAGTCTTTCCGGAAGAAGTCTGTCCATAAGCAAATATGGTACCTGTGGATCAAACAGAGAAAAGATGTATCCAAAAAACAAACCACTGCAGTGAGTGTTTGGAGCAACACAACAGATGTCACAGTATTCAGTTTCAAAAACATACCATTGTATCCCTGAACAGAGGAAACAACAAGAGGTTTAGCAATGGCTTGGTACAGCTGATTGGTCGTTTCTTCTGCAGTAAACACTCGATCTATGAACAGAGAAGGAAGGTTCATGTACAGTAGTAGTAGTAGTTGTTGTCAAGTTCTATGCAACATATCTCAAAGGAGCCACAAAATCGAGTCAAACATATTTCTCAACCCTGTACATGCTGCAAAACTTACCAAAACTAAAGCTTTTACTGGAATTCCCATCATCGCTCTGATAAATTGACTTTGCATCAGCTTTCCAAAAATAATGGACCGGCTCTGCATTCTCCGATGCAGCACTGTCTTCCCTGTAACAAAGACAAACAATCAGGAAATATGTGGAAACATTAACAGACTCTTCCTTTAACATTGTAACCTTATGACTACAATACCATGCCATGAAAAGTCAAAGCCTAATATCAACACGGACCAGGGTCTTGTATTGTGGAAAATAGGCTACATATAATTAAGATAATTTTGGGGGGAAATGATAGCTAGATAGATTGATGGATAGTTTCATTACAATAGCATCATTCCAAAGTATATAGAACAAAGAATAACAATTATTGTAGAGCAATAGACTGGCGAAGTCCCTCCCCTTCCGGTGGACCTCCATGGGACTTTATTTCGGAAAAATGGAGGGAGAAAGATTATCTTTCAATTCCGTTTGAATTGTGCCACGAATTACACATATGATGTTTGTCAATTTAAAAGATAATTTTGCAAGTCAAAAAAAAATAAAGTGTCGTAAAACTGTGAAGTAACATGTTTTTGTGTGAAACGCTGAATGAACTACATCTCTGGTCTCGCAGAACAACACACGTCACCAAGATGGCCGTCACTACTGTCTTGTCAACAAAAGGATTGACGAACCCTCACTATCATCACAATGAAACACGTCCAGAAGAATGTCATGCAAAGCTGCCTGCCTGCCTGCCTGCCTTCCTTTGATTCTCTCCGAACTGCCTGGTCTTTTTAATGTTTAATGTCAACCATTTGTGCAGATAGCGTGAAGTAGAAAAAGATCGCAGATGCTAAGGTAGCGTTAGCATTTCTCCCCCGGGCTTAAATTGTGTATTATAGAATGATCACACTGGTGTGAAAGTACTCTTCAAAGGGTTCACGAAATATGACTACTACTCTTACTGTTTAACATGTTGGGTTACTTAAAGGTGGGGTAGGTAAGTTTCAGAAACCGGCTCGAGTGCACTAAAATTTGAAAGTACACAGCCAAAAAGAATCCGCCCCTTCCTTCAGACTTCCTTACAGAGCACCTCCTCCGCGAGAGCAGGCTGCAGTAACGTTACATATCAGGCAAAGCTAAACACATCTAGGTTAGCAATACTACACAGCCAAAGCAACTCCGATATTGACTCTGGTTTGACTTCTCCTAGTTTCCACTTTCTTTTTGTTCTTAATTTGCTCCGTTACATTTTTTTCTTTTGCGACCAGTTGAGGCCGCCTGTTGCTGGCGAGTCATTGAAGTACTGCTGCAATGCACGCCCAATCGCCCAGCCCTAGCTCAGTGAAGGACAGGTCATTTGTGCGTGCAACGAGATGGAAGGCTGACAGACAGGCGGCAATACATCCGTTTAGCGGGATTGGTTGTTGTTTTTACAGTATACGGGTTCCACAAGATGACATTTTTTTTATGGATTTTTTGTCCAAAGCTTAGATATTCATTGCTATCGCGATGTTAAAGGCGATTCCATGGAATATGACAAAAAGTGTTATCTCGAGCCGGTTCTGAAACTTACCTACACCAACCTTTAATGTTACTTCTGGTTAAGGCTAATAAAATGATTACGGCTGTAATGCTAACTAACCGTGCTAGCTACTAGCTAGGATAGCCTAACTTGATCCACCACTCCTGGTTCCTTTCAATCAGACGGAAGCGAAAGACGCAGCACTAAGCACCACAGGGCATCTTGTTAAAGTTATCTTATTCTTAGCCAGCGCCATATAGCATAGAACGATTATATCCTATATGGCCCTGATCTTAGCTATCTCTTTATGTGAAGAGGAAAACCATTGTTATGACTCACTTAAAGCGACTCTGGGATTCATACCAACGCGTGTTTCATGGTCAAGGTCAGCAGCTTGAGCTTGAAAGCACCGTTTTTTCCTGTTCACAATGCGCAGCCTCAATTAGATCCGCGAATCCGGTGTATTTCAGAGCACAATTCAAACGAACGAAGTAGTTCTCTCTCCGGCTAGACGCAAAAGCACCACCATATGTCACGCTAACGTCGAGGGCGGGGCAGCAGGGGACTGTCGATCAACTCTAGACATGAACAACAACACAAGCCAGGGTTTTATCTCAGTTTGTACACAAAGCATGCTAAGAAACTGATAGAAGTCCATTGTAGAGACCAGCTACTAAATAGGAATCTGTGGTCTTCCGACTCAGACGGTATAGAGTTTCGGAAGCTCGGAGCACGATAGGTTGTTGTTTTCAGCTGTTTCACTTGCTGTGAGAGGGCTCGCGCACGCTTGGCATTTACTGAAGACAGGTCACACAACTAATGGTCACTTTTCATGACTTCGCAATGACCATGATCGCATAATGTGCCGGAACACAGTCCGGACTCTGGAGACCTGTGTGAAAAGGAGCCGGTAGCTAAAACGAAGAACCGGTTCTGAACCTGAAAAGCTCTAGCACGGAGCTTGAACCGGAGTTGCACCTTGCTGTGGTGAATGTGTAAAAGAGTCAGATTAATTTGAGCTGAGTGGCACGCGTGTAACATGTGCTGAGATGTTTAGATTGGTTCGGATGTTAAGGCATGGTGGAGCCTCGTTGGAGATTTCTACATTTTCCATTGTTTCCTTCCTGGGTTCCGCGGAGACGTCACAGCCAATCTAGGATCCTCTTGGTCTAACTTAACAGGGATCCCATTGACTTGCATAGAGCTCCCTGAACTGCATAGTCTTATATATTTCCAATCAACAGTTTTAACGAAAACCTGTGGTTTTTTGACAATGGGAGGAATGTATTTTTTTAAGTTGACAAAATCATATTGTGTATTCATGGCACATTCAACGGGAACGAAAGATAGTTTTCTCTCTTCCATTGATTCGA